GTGCAAGCCATTAATTATTCAAGTTCCCTGTCTGGAGACTGTTCTGTTCTCACAGCTCCAGACCTGACTTCCAAAAACCCAGGTTTGGATGCAAAAGGTAAAGCAGCTTCACAAGAATGGGATGGAGCTTTCTTGACAACAGGTCATGACACAAAAAACCAAAAAAAAAAAGAAGAGCTCTTATTGGTAGAGCATAAAGCAAAACTTCTGGAAAAATAATATTGTCACTGAAATTAAATTTTTAATAAAGAGAGATATGATCTTGTAAACATTTGCACATGGAGTTTTGTTCACTTCCACGTGTGGTTAATCCTGCTGGCCACGTGATTACAGCTGAATCTGAGATTATGGACCACATTTATTAGTGCAGTTTGGGCAGGAAGACACTGCTGTGCCCAAAGTGCTGTGCCTGAAGAAATGAGGCATTTTCTTCTGTGTCTTGTGTGTAATTTAAAGACACAAAGAAAGAGCCAGAGGAGTAGAACATATCAGGAAGCAAGCAAGCCCTGTGGGTATTTGTTTTTTTATAGCCACTGGAAGAAGATGGGGCATTGTGTATGTGCTTTTTAATTGGCCAGAAATAGGGAATAAATCCATCCTGAGTTCCAACTCCTTCTGCATTACAGGGATAGTGCACTACGAGGTTTTGCACTYCTGCCAAAAGAGTAAATTGCCAGCTTTCACCAAGTTGCATATTGCTCCATAAATATATATCCAGCAGGGGCATTTGCCTTCTCATTTTAATATCTATCTCACTTTAACACATTCGATTAGCGAGATGCATGGGCTGGGAGACTGCTGCATTTCTTATATGCAAAAAGAAGGAAAAAAAACCCCAAAACCTCCAATTTATGTATGATGCATCCTTCCTTGCTTTTGGAAAATGAAGGTGGTAGACCCCCAAGTCACAAAGTCTCCCCACATGCCAAAATAAATTAAAAGCAGGGAACTATTTGAGGTGAAGTCCCACACCCACCAAGGTTAATGCATTATTTTGCCTACGGGGTCACAAAATCACATCGTTATTTTTAGGGGGGATAACTGCAGGGAAGACGGAGGATGGCACTGAAATGCGTCTCTGTGTGATCTGCTGCTCAGAACCCTCATGTGAAGACAGAATTCTGTGTCTTATTGCACCGAGCAGGGCTGGTGGCTTTGGAAGAGAGGGTGGGTGGGCTCTGGGTTTTTATTTCAGTATTTATTTATTTGTTCCTCAGAGGAGTTAACAGAGAAGGGAGTAACACTTTCAGCAGCCTCCCCACAATCTAACTCTGCAAGGAGAAACCTGCAGCAGCACCTAAAATCCAAAATTAAGTTGCCAGGGCTTTGCTCCTCACCTCGTCCTTCAGTGAGTGCTTTTATCTGGAAGCAAACACATCCCAGCTCCTCCTTCCAGCTGCTCCACATTGACACATTCCCACCTCCAATTCCTGTGTCCAAACTGGTAGGAAGAGCTCTCCCTTAAGTGTGGAACAGTAAAGCCACTGGAAGGTGTTTGGCAGCACAGCCCTGGCTGAAAAGCTCCATCTCACCCATAAAGGCTACACAACAGACAAAAGTTATTATGGAAATCCTGTTATCGTTCACGTTACAAAATAAAGGGGGAAAAGTATCTTGGCACTGGCTACGGAAGAAAAAAGGAACAACGATTAAGACGTTTGCTTTTAGCTTTTTTTTCTTCCCTTCCCAAAACAGACCCTATTAAATATAAAATAAAGGCAAAATGCTCTCTGACAGCTCTGCCAGTCTCTGTCAGTTACATATTTTGGGAAATGGGGCAAGTCCACATGACCTCTGTTTTCCATATCTTTGAGATAATGCCGTAACATTTCAGAAGAGCCCTTGAGCTATCTATGGTTGAGTTACTCTGTGCATTTCTCTTATTACAAAACTCCAGTAAGGAAAAACCTTGGCCCGCTAAATTATCTCAGACCACAGAAGAAAAGCAAGTGGTGCTTGCTGACACAGAGGGAATTCAGAACTTTTATTTGACAGCAGTGGTACAGCTGGAATTTTGATTGTAGCATCATGAACTGCACGAACTACAGAAGTTTTTGTCTCTAAAGTCCTCTTCTTCTGCTAATGGTGATGGAAACCACTGTGGATCGATGATTTGGCTGAACTTACCTCAGGCTCTCTGCTGTAAAAATGGCACAGGTCTCCCTCCTGGGAAATCTTGGGGAGTTTCAGACCCCAGCCTGAGAGGACTCAAGCTGCTAAGACAGAAGGAAGTTTTAATTTCTTGCTTCTCGCGCCCCAGAAATTTTTCGTCTTGGGGGTTACATGAAAGCTGGATTGCAGATTATCTGTCAAATGTTAAAGACACCGAAGGGTGAGGCCATGAAGGAAGATGCCATTTTCACCACAGCAGGTCAGCTTTTATTAAACCACACTTCAGTACTGATTCCTACTGTATTTCAGTTTGCTGATCCTGCTGGACATTGTGTCTGGATTCTGCCCTCAATGAGACACATCTGTCAGGTGAAACCGCTTAAATTCCTAGTGAGAGATGAGAAAAGACTGAATATCACGATGATAAGAACAGAGATGCAGCAGGTAGGGATTAGTGTCTGTTTGAAAGGATCTGCTAAGTAGATAAAAAAATACCAGCAACTTTCTCCAGTCTGTTACAGGCTATTTAACTTGAAATAGTTGAATTTCCTGAATCTGTCATCCTTTTCCTCCTGAAAATGTACTAAACTTGGGCATTCTGTCTCCTTCACATGCCTGCATTGCCAACTGTGCTCTAACACAACTGCAGTAATCCTTGATAAAATGGCATTCTTGCCACATGATAAATGGATTTGCAGTTGTGCTGCAGACAGAACTGAAATGTGAAAAATGAACTATTTCAGTGTTGGGTGTTAGCAAGAGCTGCATCAAACTGATGATCATTCTACAGACACAACCCCAGTGAGGGTGTGTGGTTTTTAATCAGTGTTATTTTAACTTAGAAGTAAATGTCCTCTTTTCCATTTAAATTATCATTTAGGGTAGGCTCCTAGACTTCCTCAAGGAAGTCTCCTACATACATAACAATGTCCAAACGCTGGCTGGATACCATGCACCCACCAAAGTCACTCTATCAGTCCCCTCACCAGCTGGGCAGGGGAGACAAAACACAGGTTGGGATGGGAACAGAGATCACTCACTGATCGCTGTCACAGGCAAAACAGACTTGGCTTAGGGAAATCGGTTCATTACCAATCYAATCAGAGTGGGGTAAAGAGAAAAAGAAGTCTTAAAAGCAGGGTAAAGAGAATCTTAGGAGCACCTTTCTCCTACCCGTCCCTTCTTCCCAGGCTCAGCACCACTTCCATTTCCCCTTCCTCCTTCCCCTTAGTGGTTCAGGTGGAGAATGGGGTTTATGGTAATTTTAACAAACATTCTCTCCTTCCTCATCCTCTCYCCCTGCTCCAGTGTGGGGTCYCTCYSATGGGAGAGAGTCCTCCATGAATTTCTTCAAGGTGAGTCCTTCCCACAGGTGCAGTTCTCCCTGAGSTGCCCCAGTGTGTGTCCCCTCAGGGTCACAGGTCCTGCCAGGAAACTGCTCCCACCAGCTTCCCAGGAGCTCACAGCCCCCTCCAGGCACATTCCCCTGCTCTGCAGCGGCTGCAGGGGGTTCTCTGCTGCCCTGGCCACTTTCAAGGGCTGCAGGGGCACAGCTGCCCCACAGACTGCAGGGGAAGCCCAGCTCCAGCACCTGGAGCCCTTCCTTCTGCTCCTTCCCAATGCTGGTGTCTGCAGAGCAGTTTCTCTCACATTTCTCACCCTGCTCTGGTGTTGTGAAGGCTGTTTGTCCACCCTTTCATATCTTGTTATCCCAGAGGCACCACAGCCTCACTTCAGGGCTTGGATATCGCAGAGTGTCCATCCCGGAGCTGCTTCCAGCAGCTTCTCACAGAAACCACCCCTGTGCCACCTCCCACCACTAAAACCTGGCCATGCCAACCCCTCACGAACAGAATTCACTTTATCCGTTCTCTGATTCTGTCAGCAAAAAGCCAGTCTACAAGAACAGCAAATGAAAAGGAGGCTCCTGGTGCAGCTGGGCTGGGTGTTAAACACAAAACACAGCACAAGCCACTGCAGATTTTGAACTYGAATACCATTTGTTTTAAGAAACTTAAGGCCAGATGATGAATACTTTTTTTCCACAGTCCACAGTACATTTCAACTTTGAGATCCACACCAGCTGCATTTCCTTCACTGGCTTCCACCACTTTGCAGCTCCAGCTTTGTGAGCCAGTCCTCAAACTTCTGAAGGTCCACTCGATGCTTCATTAGGAACTTCCCATTCAAGTGAAAAACAGGAATGTCGTATTTGTATTTGTCATACCACGCCGARTTCTCCGGAAGGGTGATATCCACCTCCTGCAGAATAAACTGTGACAGAAAATAAATGGGTCAATTCCTACTTGGACACTGGAAAACAATAAATACCTGCTTGTCTTTTGGCCAATCTTTCTCTCAGAAATGCAAGGGTGTTTTCTTGTAGATTTGGGGTTTTTTCTTTGTGTTTTAGGTTAAGTGTTTGGGTTTTTGAGCACAGAGTACGTGCAGCCACGACCCTAGGCTGCTTGTCCACAAAGGTGTCCCTTCCCAGCCCAGGATATTTTTGTTCCACTACACAGAATCACTCTCCTGTGAGCATCAACCTCACCAAACACCCAGCTGGGAACAGGACAGCTGCCTGTCTGGCAGCAGAGGGCAACAGCTCTTAGTGCTGCCATTAAAAGTTTCATCTTTCAACAGAAAGATCAAAACCTGATTGAAGAACGGCAAAAATTACAATCACGCGTAGTTCAAATACTCAAAGCCCCACTTAGTAACRTCCTTCCTAAATTATGTCATTACCTGCCTCATGAAAGTGGCAAACCCCTCCTTCAGATTGGGCAATAGCATTTACAAAATCAGTGTTTTCAAGAACCACTGCAGCACGGTGCATGTTGGTTTAGTTTGCCAATACTTACTTGAGCAGCATTGTCACAAAATGCTTAGGATAATGAGTTTTATGGAAATCAGTGCTGAAATTGTCTTGAAGAGGTCACCCACGAGAGAATAACAGATGCAAATAAATCCAAGCAATTTTCTTTTTACAAAGAAAGAATGCTGATTAACTGTTCTTTTTATGTGGAAAATATACATGCAATTGCCAYACATTACCCTTCTCTTGTATGGCTCAAGAACTTCTTTGGCTTCATCACACAGAGGGCATGGTTTCTGAAAGAAAACAGAGTAATTTAAAGTATACAGTGGAACAAAAAAGTTCATTACTGTAAATACAGATTCCCTCCTCTGTACCAAGCACACTTAGGGCTTTCTAAAACTTAATTTATCAATGCAGCATGGATGAAAAAAAACCCCAAAACCTGCCCAGCCACTGAATTTAATAATTTGCTATTCTATTTCTCAAACACAACGAGCAATAATAATAAAATGGAGCAAATGAACAGACTTCCAAAAGCTGATCCAAGGGAACAATCTGAAAGGCCCTGCACAGACCCCTCATTTTGGTCAGCAGTGCATATTCAAAGCACCATCACCATCAAATGAAGACAACTGCTGGCACCAATCCTGCCAGGAGAGGAAWGAGAGAGTCACACAGGTAACTTCCAGCCTGTCTCAGATCAAGGCATTTGGCTCGGCTCAAGCAGGAAAAGGAGATAATTTATGATAACCTGGATGTCTTTGCCTGGAAAAAAATAGGCAGGACCTTCCAAACTGGAGAGCTGGAAGGAGAGCAACCCCCAGCAGGGAGAAGTGGCAAGCAGCTGCAGTGCTTGGAGCTGTGATGGAGCCAAAGAAAACCTCCCATTTYTGAGAACTCCCTGGTCTTTAGCTTCAGCTGCTCATCTGACTCCTGCTGACCATGCAGTCCATGGCTGAAGAAGTAACTCACAAAATGCTGCTTCAATGCTTGTCACAGCAGAATTTGGCCATAATTCACAAAGTGTATGGTGGTGAACATGATGTTCAYGTCCCTCTGCCACAAAACACCTTCCACAGCTGAAAAAGATCTCCTTCTCTCTCACTGAAGCCTTCCTAGGGCTTGTTTAAATGTGAAGCTAACCTGAAACAGCTATATTTTAGTTCCTGCATGTGAATTACTTTGGGTTAAATACTCTAATTTAATTCACATCTAATCTAAATTATCTTTCCCGCAAAGACAAGCTGTGAAAACCATGCAGGATGAAATGCTGTGCTCTTTGTGGTTCTGGTTGCTTTTGCAGGCACTGCTCTAACAGATTCTGGTGACTGAAAGAATGACCCAGAACCCTACACATCACTTTTGAAACACTCCAGGCTCCTTCCAGTTAAAATAGGACACACTTGGTTCCCTTAGGCCTGTGGAGAGCTTTCTAACATAACTGCATCTGACAAAGTAGGCTAACTTTTAGGAAAAAGACATAGTTTAACTCTCATGGCAAGCTTAGGCACTAGGTTTAAAATCRAAAGTTAACTGTTTTAGTGAACAGTGAAAGCTCTTTGAAAATTACATTTATATTAGTACATATTTTTCAGTAGAAGAGTGCAGCACCACATCTCTGCCATCACTTGTTTTGAATTAATTTGTAATTGGGCTGCCTGGGTAAAGCTGTCTTGGACAATCTTCTCTCKGAGATGTGCCAGCAAAAGGGACTTCTACTGTTCAGGCAGTGAAAAAAACCCTTCCCAAAGTRACTTATGCTGTGCTGACAGCTCAGCCTGATAGTCAACACACCTGCTGGAAAGGACAGCTCTGTTACTACAGAGAATTGCCTTTTGTGCTGCAGTTTTTGTGCAGCCATCCAAGCTGGCACTGATGCTGAAGGAACCAGACCCAACTTCCTGCCACTGCTTCTTTTGTGCTGGCATCAGCACCCGAACAGCTGCACAAAAAAGATGGACAGGGGAACTGCTCTGAGGTAACAGCAACCTTGCAGGGAAAAAAAGAAAAAGGCTTTTTTTTTAAAACTGAAGCACGAATGCTGGTGCTGTCATAAAAGTGTAAACAAGGGGAAACCTTGGTAGCTTCTATCAGTTTGCTGCAGAAGTCACAGCTCCCTTCTGCCTTCTCCCCCTCTCTTCTCCTTATTAAAAACAAGAAAGAGGCAGAAAAGGGGTTTATTAGCGTAAGTAACAGGGCAGATTAATTTTTTTTATACCCTGTGCTTTGCCTTGCAATTGCCGGTGAACATTTAAAGTTAACAGTTAACATTTAAATTTAAAAACACCTCTAACAAAAGGCCATTTTGGAGAACTGCTGGATGTCTGCAATTAGAAAAGCTGATTTCACATAGTGCCTTACAAGCAGGAAATTTTAAGACACAAAGAACTTTTTTTTTATCAATTATTAACCCAAAGGTAAGAGCATTATTCCCTACCTTACCCCATTTTAATTGCGAATGAAGCTGAACTGGGCAGGGTGACAGAAAGCTGTAACTTTAAAGTATGGTTTTGATTATTCAGTAGATGTTTAGCTGATATTTTTAACCTTTTGCCGCAGTTTAAACACTCCAGTATGGTTAGTGATGGAATGAACATTGTTCAGGAGGAGGAAATTATTTTAATCACATTCAAAGCCACCACATTGATGTCAGAACTCTCAGAGCTTTGCATTTGTAGTCATTYTCTTCTTAAGGGCTGCAACCACCACAGAAATGCAGCGTAACCCATCCTGTGCCATCCTTCATGAAAGTGCAATAACTGAGAACAATTAATGGGATGTGACAGCCCAAAAATGACCCTCCCTGCTCACCTCATGTTTTTCTAAGAATCCTACCTGCACTTCATGTGCTGCCAGTAAAGCAAAAAGGGAGTAAAACAGGTACATTTTTGTCCCCATGTGCTGCCAACACTATTGGACACATTTTACAGTCTCACAGGTGGTGCTGAAATCAAACATTGAGTACTTTGAAGAGCCTGCTTTGACTGCTGATGCTTGTGCTTGGCAGATTATGTAAAATAACTCGTCTCTGTTATCCCTTTTTGGGGTGAAACACTGGCAGCTGGGCCAAATCTTCAACCAGTAAATGAACCACAGCATCACTGAGGCACAACTGCACTGAAATCTTTKTTGGTTGCTAATTCTTGCATTTTACAATGATAGCAAGACCGTGCTGCAAAACCTGGCGTGCACAAAGCCGCTGATAAAACACCCAATACAACTCTGAAGGGAGAAAAAAAAACAAGGACAAGCCATTTAATCTGTGATTCCTGTGTGTCAAAGCCGGTAGACAGAGTTTTGCCAGCTTTATTGCGTAAACAGCTCTTACCTTGGTGAATAAAGTCAGCACTGGCTTCTCTGTGCTGGCTGAGCAGAGCCGTCTCCCCAGAAGGCTGGGTGAGTGCCTCACACGTGGTAGGGCTCTGCTCAGGAAACAAAGCACCATCGTCCTGTTCAGGCAAAAATAAAAGCTTGTTCTGTGCCAAGTTACAGCTCGTGAAGTTTAATGTCAGGGTAAATGTGATGCTTCTATCACGGCTCTAAAGTGCACACAATCAAAATGCTCTCCCGGGATTTTTTATGCTCACGGCGTGAACACATTCATCAGGGAGATGGTTTACTCTGTGGCAGGCCAGAAACATTGTGCAGCTCAAAACCCAGCAGTTCCATGAAAAAAAASCAACAAAACACCCATGTTTTCTTGTTGAAATGCCCCTTTTAAATTCCCTAACACAAACACTGACATAAATGCTGTTCCAACTGCACTGATGCCAGCTGGAATTATGTATTTAAAAAATGCAAAGTGCTGTGCTTTGAACCTCTGTAATCTCGCTGCAGTGTTTGACATATTCTACTTACCCGAAATACTCCATCAAAAAAACTAATCTGTACCTAATCAGAATATTAATGTAACGAGTTCTGCAGTGAGTAAAAGGCTGCAGCCAAGACAATTTAACTTGGTTGTRTTAAAATCATTCACAATGCCCCAAGTGCTTTCTGCAACAGCAAATTGATTGATGGGTTTGTGATACTTCTGAGAGTTTAAGTAAGTTGAGTGTTACTGAAGGGTGCCATGGCGGAGTCTGTTCCTAATAACATTAATAACAACAGCRTGTCCTCCAAACTTATGTTTTAATGTGACCTTTACAAGGCATTTTAGGACTCAGGGACTAAAAAAAAAACCCGAAGCCAAAGGGAGTCTGCATGGTGATTTAGCAGCAGACATGACACATGATACCAGAATTTACAAATCAAATCTAATCAAATCAAATCTCTTTAACCCAAAGCCAAACTGCTTTTGCTCAGTTTCAAGCCTGACTCACCTGCAGTTCTATTACCTGAAGCTAAACACACAACATAAAGTCATAATTTTAAACAGCTTAAGAGTAAGCAGGACCACATTGCAACTGGTAAGCACATTTTAGGTAAAGGTCAATAAAAAAGAACCTAATGCAACCACTGTTATCTCTCAGTATTAGTATCACAAAGCTCTTTTTCTTTAAAAGTGGACCGTTTAGCCAGCATAACCACTGTGGAAGAGCATAGTGAACTCTGAACTGCTGCAATTCCAAGCCACAACCACAATAAAAATCAAATGGGTGACAGGATACTGCCCCACCAATCTTCCTGCACACACTGCAGTTGTTAGTGAGAGTCAGCTGCAGGGGAAGAGCTGGAAAACCTCCTGTCACCGMGCAGTGACTTGGCACACACTGGCAAAGATCTCAGTCCTTGGAAGCCGCTGCATTTGTTTCTCTTTGCCAGGTGGAAAYGGAACTGTCTGGGATTTTACACACCAAATGTGAGAACAAGCTTGGAACCTGTCGGGAAAACGCAAGTCTGGATGACAGTAAGAGCCTCAGTCAGATGTAGACATTTTTAAATCTACAATAAATAAATCTCCAGAATGGGTGCAGTTTTGGCATGAAGTATTTGCAGCACGCCGGCCTGATTGCATGCAAGAGAGAAATGGGAATTTTTTTTTTTAAAGTCTGCATTCTGACAAGTTTTTTAAGAACGCTTTCATTGTCAGCCTAGCCAGCATTCCAAACAATGAAGATCTCTCAAATTGCTCTGTGGGTAGCAGAATGAGTAAAGCCAGATTTCCATAGATCCCAACCTGCCTTCCACACATGTGCATAAAACAATTCCAGTTTAGTTGTATATATATCCCCTTTTTTATAACCCTCCATACTCAGTTTTCCTGAGGACAACCCCTACCCAAAGCATCAGCCAAAGGGGAATTAAGAAAATAACATCAGTGCCCAAGCTTTAGATCTCACAGAAATAAATCAGCCAGCAAYGCTTTAACTTCCTTACCAATTTTAYAATATAATTACAGGCCATTTTTTATATAATTTGTATTTATAAATTTATTTTAAATACAGTTATTTTAACTTATAAYGTTTATAAAATTTATTATAAAAAATATAATTATTTTATAATTACAAGCAATTCTACCTTTGGAAAGCAAATTCATTGACCAGTACTGCAGCTGAAGAAAGAATGTGCTGAAAGGGTGAGCACAAAACTGGCTGGATGTTTTCATAAGTAATCTGAAGAAAACAGAGTCCTGTCTACCTATTTATTCACCTAAGCAGGATGATACCAAGGGCTGCTGAAAGGTCAGTTACAAAAAGACCAGAAGGTTTAATCCTGATTTACTGGATCTCCACACAGGCCCTGGTCACACTCTGCCCTTCCATCAGCACAGCGAGGACTGAGATGCAGCCCTGAAGGCAGGCGAGGCACTGTCAGATGGCATTGAGCTCCYCGGGTTCAGATGATGCAGCCTGAGGAAGGAGAGCAGCCAGACCCGCTGCATTTAACCCAGAATAAAGCACAGAGCAGCTCTGGCTTCACAGGGCTGCAACCAGGGCTCCGTCCCCACAGAAATGTGGTTTTAATCAGAGGAATTTACTCATCTTGCTGTGCTGGATCAAGTACGAAAACATCACAGATGAAACCAAATAGTTTGCTGCCTTACAGCATTCAGGTCCTACACACATCCCTACTCTATCTTTCATTAGGAAGACACCAAAACGCAAAAAACCTTCCACATAATTATTCTGAATCTCTCTTTAGACTACCCCAAATTATGAAGATCTGTTTGAGGAAAATGGTTAATTAATACATACATAAATGTATGTAATACATAAATATAAAGAGGACTGCTTGCAACCGTGAGAACTTACCTTCCCCTASACGACAATGCTACAGAACAGTTTTAACAAATGATGTTTTTGAGTCTGGGCTTGGCCCATGCTCTCATCTGCAAACCCAAGCTGGATTTCATTCCTGTAAATAGAATTTCCATCACCTAAYAAATCCTCATCTGCTGAAAAAGTTGTGACACTAAAACTATCCATTATTTAGATGAGATAATTATCTGTATAAACATTTTCTTAGCCTCACTCAAGGAAAAGACAAGCAGGAGTGATTTTCTTTTCACCAAGTATTTACTTTTGAGCAACAGCTGAGAGACAATAGAAGAAGCAAGCAGGTGCAAATATCAGACTGCAGGCTGATGGCATTCAAAACACCTGTCTCCTGGTGCCCCTCATGCAAAACCAGCTATGACCATTGAGTAAATCAAATTTTCTGGCAGTCTGCACTTGCTTACCTACCAAGAAAATGCTGAATAGGAAAATAAGAGCCACAGCAACAGACCAAGGAGCCCATGCMAGTAGGGACAGCAAATCCTGCAGCTTTTATCCCAATAGATGTGCAGAGGAGGTCTGCAAAAGACAAGAAAAACATCTTGCACATGCACATAAATCTAGAAGGTTCCTGCAACAACTCAAAATTCAAAGACATCAACAGTAATATGGTATTAATAGTAATAATCAGGTGTATCTGTGGAGTGGTCCATCAATCAATGCATGTTTCCATGCATTGTCTCCTCCAAAGAACAGTAATCTGGGGCAAATGACATAAACACATTGCATTCCATCCCAGAAAGGATGGAAGTACCACTTCATCCCCATCTGCGACACATTTTGGTCAGCAATCCCTCCAGGAGTGTGCATTGCACACRCTGGTCCAAGGTCAGACCCCAAATTTCAGATTATTTACATGACAGCCAGCAGGTTGCTGGTTAATGGCCTGTTCTGAGTACGATACAAAACTTGCACAAGCAACTGTGACCATGACATAAACTTCATAAGAGAGTTTTTTAAATAATAGTAATAACTAATGATAAGATATTCTGCATATATATTGTGTATATGTATATATAATGTCATACATATTATGTAACACTGCATCGYGTATACAATCAAATATGTTATGGAATTAATCTTAGACGTTACATATYACATCCTATAACATCATACTAATAKATCAACATTATTAAAACATTAATATATTGCTAGCATTAATATACACAATTTATACAGAACCAATAGAGGTGGTATTATTATGTCATTAATATGTAGTATTACTTTGGTGCATTGTATGGATAATTGTATTAATGATACTGTGTATTATGTGATATACCATGTATACAATGATGCTCTATATTATTATATATAACATACATTTAGGTATACTTATAACGTGTATATTTTATGTATATAAATATATACATGTATTAATACACACCATATATACATACATGTATATGTTATTTTATGTAATACACATACATTATATACATATACACACATATATGCAAATACATAGATATACACATATTGTCTGTGTACACGTATTACGTACACGTACATATATACATATATAAAATACATAAAACATCAGTTTATTATCCATATACACCCATAATACGCACATATATATTTTATGTAAATATAATAATACATGTATTTGTGTGTGCACACATATAATATATATATACTATAAACGCTCCAAGGACCGGCGGCGACCCCACCAGGATACACTGGATCCAGTGGCCTCTTCATGATCCCCTGMAAGGAGCCAGCCCCATCCGTGACGCCGATACTTCCAAACGTGTGACACCTTCAACAGGGACAAGGAGCAGGGGAACCGCGCTCCGGAGAGAGAGCCGCATCCCGGAGGAGTCAAATCCCCGGGGGAAGCTTCCCTTTCCCGGTCCCGTTCCCGGTCCCGGACCCACCTGCGCTCCCCGGAACGCGCGGTCCGCAGCGCTCGCAGCGCCGGCTGTGACGTGACCGAGCCACGGGAAGGAAACCAAGGAAGCTCGGGAAGCGCTCCCGGGGGCAAAAGGGGCGGGAAAGAGAAAGTAAAAAAGTAAAAAAAACCAACCAACCAAACAAACAAACAAAAAAAAACCCAAAAAATCCCCAAAAAACAAAACAAAGTAACAAAAAGAAAAC